CACCTTCTTTTGATGCTTTCTGTATTTTGCCTACGGAGTCCTTCAATATTGCAATCTGAGGCTTGCTTTTATTTCTTCAGTTCTTTCAGCTTGAGAAATGCTGAATGTCTTCTACCCTTTTGGCATTCTAACTCTAGGTTTTAGTGCGTTTCATCATAATACATGGCTTTGTCTTCACGACTGCCCTTTTGAAATTTTCTGTTCAGCTCTTTAACTTCATCTTTTTTTATTCATTTTAGCTTCTTCTCTATGCTCAAGAGCAAGTTTCAGAATCTCTTCTGACACCCCTTTTGGTCTTTTCTTTCTTTCCTGTCTTTTTAATGGTCTTCTGCTTCCTTCCTGTAAGACATTCTTAATGTCACCCCATAACTCTTCTGGTCTTCAGTCACTAGTGTCTAATGCATCAAATCAGTTGTTGAGATGGTCTGTGATCCCTAAATTCAGGTGGGACATATTCAAAGCCATATTTTGGCTTTGGTGAACTTGTTTTAATATTCTTCAGCTTCAGCCTGAATGAGCAATTGGTTGTCTGTTCCATTGTCTGTCCTGGCTGTGTTTTGATAGATGATATTGAGCTTTTCCACCATCTTTTCCCACAAATGTCAACTCGATTCCTGTGTAAGATATCTGGTGAATTCCATGTGTATAGTCACCATTTCTGTTGTTGGAAAAATTATTTGCAATGAATAAGTTGTTGGTCTTACAAAATTCAATCATGTGATTTCCAGTATCATTTCTATCATCAAAACCATATTTTCTAACTACTGATCCTTTCTCTACATTGCAATCACCAGTAATGATCAATTATCAGTAATTATCTATGCTTGGTGATTGCATGTTTGATCAATTTGAGACAGAAGAAGTTGGTCTTAAGTGCTGTTGAGTCACTTCTGACTTACAGTGAGGGTCGACCCTGTACAGGGTTTTCAAGGCATGGCTGGTAAGTTTGAATCACTAACCTTGTGGCTCAAACTGATCTTACGTCCAGTGCTTTATCCCACAGCACCACACCAGGACTCTTAAGAAGTTGGTACTATTCTTTAATTTAATCATCACTGGCTTTAATGGTTGGTGTATAAATATGAATAATAGTGGTGTAACTGGTCTTCCTTATAGGCATATGGATCTTATCCTATCACAGACAACATTGTACTTCAGAAGAGACCTTGAAATGTTCTTTGTGACGATGAATGCAATGCCTCTTCCTGGCATAGTAGTCCATGAGATTGTGTTATTAAAAATGGCCAATACCAATTCATTTCATCTCACTAATACCTTGGACACTGATCTTTATGCGTTCTATTTAATTTCTGATAACTTCCAATTTCCTGATTCATTCCTTGTAAATTTCATGTTCTGACTAGTGTAACTGATGTTTGCAGCTGTTTCTCCTCATTTTGAGCTGTGCCACATCAGCATATGAAGGTCCCAAAAGCTTTGCTCCATTCATGTCATTATGGTCAAGTCTACTTTGAGGAGGCAGCTCTTCCCCAGATGTATTTTGAATGCCTTTCAACCTGAAGGGCTAATCTTCCAACATTATATCTGACAATGTTCTGCTCTTATGCATAATGTTTTCATCTTCTGGCAATATATATGACAATGTTCTACTGGTATTCATTAGGTTTTCAGTAGTTAACTCTTCAGAACTGGCATGCCTCTATTTCTTCCTAGTCTGTCTTTGTCTGGAAACTCTGCTGAAACTTGTCCACTATGGGTGACCCTGCTGGCATTTAAAATACCAGTGGCATAGCTTCCAGCATCACAGCACCTACAGAAGCTACCACAGTGTAAAAGTCTGCAGTATTAGCAGAGAATTAATAATCACATAAGGATACCATGTAAAATTCAAGACTCAGGACTTTGTTTTATCCTTTGAAGATATTTTAATATTGTAGTTATTGATTAATTAAAAAAAAAAAAAACAACACCACAACTTTTTTCAGCATTTCCTAGCTACAGTAATGCATAGGAAATTTCATTCTAAACAAGAAGTCATTAATGAAATAACAACACAACTTAACATTTTACATTGATAGGTTACAGTTTACAAGGTGCTCTCACATACATTATTTCATTTGATTCTTACAAGCAGAAAAATAACAAAAACAAAACAAAACAAAAACAACAAACAATTAGTAGGAAAGGAAAAATGATTTTTTTTTGTCAGACTTACAAACAGTATTTTCAAGCTAATGGGCAGTCAATGTAAGAACATTCCTAAAACAAAACAGCAATACCCACAAGCCACAGTATCTTTTTGGTAGGTTGACAATTTGATATCAATTGGGTATTTAGCGTCAATGACTGAGGAAGGAAATGGAACTGCACAAAGGTTCTCATGATATTCAAATAATTGTAAGAAACACTGCAGAGATACAGAGAATAAAGATGCCCTAATGCACTGGACCTCAAGGTCAGTTTGAACTGCAAAGTTGGCAGTTTAAACTCACCAGCTGCTCCTTGGAAACCATATACAGGGTCAATGAGTCAGAACCCACTTGACAGCACTTTACAACAACATCAACCAAGAGTTACTTCAAAATATGTTATCCTTTCAAAATGTCAAATGAAAAAGAATCTTGTCATAACATGTGAAAGCTAGAAGGGACCTTACAAACTGCCTAATCCAACCCTTCCATTTTACAGAGAAGAGACCTGCGGCCAATCATATTGGCAGTGACACCAGCCTGAAACGCAGATGTCTCAGCTTCCAGTCCAGTGTGCCTTCCCCTACACTGTGGCCTCCTTACAACTGGTGCATATGAAGGCAATTTCTTCTGTTTTTGATAATGTAATCTGAAGTTAAATACTGATTCATGCCACTTTTTTTTTTTTTAAATCAAGCTTTCATCACTGTTCTTACCTAAATTTTGGCTGAAATTAAAAGTTTTATATACTTTAAAAATATTCTAATTTTTAGTATACTTTATTGGTTGGGAATAGGCTCCCTTGACATAATTGAAAACTTGCTCATTTCATTTAATAAAGAGTAAAATGGAGTGATTGAATAGCTCTCAAAATCTATGCACACCTAGGGATTGATTCTCACATCAGGATATTTGGGGTTGAATTACTTAAATAGATTCTAAGCAATCTGGACTGGGAACTAGGGATTTTGTAGAAAAAAAATATTTTTAGAATTCATAGAAACCTTTTCAATTACTGAAAACCAAAATGCAATAATCAAATTGTCATCCTCATGATTTATTAAAATAATTTTACAATAATATACAACCAAGCTACCATAGATTTATAGCATACAGATAGAATACAATGATCAGCATGTTCTTGGGTCTAAATGAAATATAAAACTTAATTAAAATATTTTATACAAATGACATTTAAAATTATTAACATGATGGTGATATATATGTGTGTATATGTGTTTGTGTGTGTGTATATATACATATATGTATATATACACACACACACACAAACACATATACACATAGCTTTGTTACTTGCTACAGAAAAGGATTTCATGTTTTTCTTGCACATTTAAAATACAGGTGGAACAATTAAAATCAGCATCAGCCTTTATGTGACATTACCGTGCAGAAACACTTTACAACCAAAAACCAGTGAGGCTGGTGAAAAGAACATGTCAGTCAGGGTTGTTCTGTGTCTCCAAAAGCTTCACAAGGGGAGAAAGCCGTAGTACCAGTGACCTCTGTACACTGACAATGAAGAGTAATATGGTTATATATATACAAAGATTAGTTTGTTTAAAAACAAATCACTCCATATGCATGTAAACTGAGCATAAAAAAAGGAACCCAGTTTATTTTAAACTATTTGGGTGTGCTGTTTTAAGACAGGTCACTGAGACACACGAGATAAAACCAAATGAGAAAAGTTAAAACCAAAGAAAGAAAAATGAGTTAAGCCATGGATTCTCAACAAATACTGAACTATCTGTGCAAAAGCGCTTTAAATTTCCATATGACAGCAATGTTGTTAAATCAGTTGGCAAAAAGTATTTAAAAAAAAAACCAAAAAACACTCAAATACGAAAATTGTACCTGCAAGATTCATACAACCTGTGCACTGAGAGAAAAGAAGTTAGACATGATGATATATCTAAATATATCACACCTCAAAATGAAAATACAATTGTGGCAGTTTTATAAACCTTGTCTCCTTTCCTCATTGTTGAGGCTGAGGGTGATAGCAGACATTGCAGCAGGACGCCCCCTCCCCTCAGTAGGCTTACAAATATAGTACATCAGCATACAAGCCTGGCCACAGCTTCTTTTGTTCTTAACAGTTACAAAACAAAGCAAAACAAAACAAACAAAAACACTTCATTTAAATAAGGTGTTTGTATTTTTTGTCTGCAAGAATCAAACCATTTGTTGCTGACTTAGCAAAGTGTTTCTGAAAACTAATGTTCTTTTTAGTTTATTTTTTCTTTTAAAAAGTTTACAATGAGACTATTTTAGAAACGTTAAAATTTGTCACTTTCATTTGTTATATGCTATTAAAATACTGGCTAAAACCCTGAAGGAAGATTTAAGGTTTAGAAACCTTAAACGCTTGTCTAATACCTATAGAAATGCTGGGGGTGGGGGGGTGGGGAGGGAATAAGTGAAAGAATCTGGGAGATGATCCACATCATTAGTTTTTCCTGCTGAATGAGACATATTTGTCACATTTCACAGGTTGGTCATTTAATTACTCAGAGGAACATGATAAAAAGGAAATGAAGGGAAATAGAATTTCTGATCTATAGGAATCCAAACTGCTGAGTCTAGTTACTCTATATTAGTTCGTCCAAATTTTTGCCAAAATAGTGAATTTGAAGAAAGTTATTTTAAATTAATTTGTGTTAAGTTTTCTTGGTGATAAGACTTCTATCATCAAAAACTGTCAGACGTTTTGGCAAAAGTGAGTCTGAACTACTCAAAGTAAAAATAATTCTAAGAAACAATTGTCTCAAGCCACTGACCAACAAAAATATTGGCAAGTACTAGTAAAAGGAACACATCAATCCCTTCAAATATTATACAGCCATAACACTGCCCATTTAAAACACAAACAAAATAAAAATGGAGTGCTTTTTGGAAATATAAAATTAATGAAAAGGGAAGAAATGGATGAAAGAGGAGTATGAAAGACAAACCAAAAAGAAGCAGGAAAGTGGTCTAGCACTGTGTCAATGACACAGACAGAGCTTGCTTAGCGGTGCCTTGTTACACAGGTGGATGCAGAGTGCACACACGGATGAATGCAATAAAGATCTCACTCAGTTGTTTGAATGAAGGTACTAGGTAACCTCAACAGAGGAAAGTCTCAGCTCCACCTTATCTCTCAACAGAGTGCAAAGACTGAATGTGAGCTTTCATGTCATCTTGCTGTTCCTTTTTAAAATTCACCAAATTCTTTTGCACATTTTTCTGTTATGGAGACACGGATATCTTCTTCTTCATAGTCATCAAAGTTGCTGGTGTCTCCAGAGCCTCTGAACTTTGGTATGAATGGAGCTTCAACCTATAATTGAGATAGAAAAAAGAAAAAGAAGAAAACAGAAAAACAAATACTTGAGTGTTTATAAATGCTTAGAAAAATAAAATTTGCATTATAACACAGTAGCATTTTATAAATGCTGTTTAGTACTTAACAGATAATTGTATTTGTATTAAGGTCAATATTTTTATTCAAGGGAGGGGGCAAGACAACAAACTACTAATACTAATGATTATTAACTTTTGGCAGCAAAATGCTAGCCATCTAAAATTACAGACCTCATTTTTTACCTTTATTCTTTATTTCTAAAGCCTCTCTATCTATCCCTTTCTTTTTAATTTCTTTGTTTCTTCAGAGATCACAGATAACTCTTAGATTTACTTTTTTTGTTTTTTAAGTTTTTATTGTGAATTGAGTGAAAATTTACAGGGTAGATCATCAGTTTTACATCCAACAAATTATACAGCTTGTTTCATGCCAATGATTATAATACCCTCCATGTATCATAAGGAGCTCTGGTAGCGTAGTGGTTACGAATTGGGCTGCTAACCTCAAGGTCGGCAGTTCGAAACTACCAGCTGTTCCGTGGGAGAAAGATGAGGTGTTCTGCTGCTGTAAAGATTTTCAGCATCGGAAACCCTGTTCAGGGTCACTATGAGTCCGAACTGACTCCAACAATAACAACAGTATTTCTCTCTATTCAATTTAGTTCCTTTCCCCCTTTTTAAAACACTCAGGCATATATAATAATTTACACCACCAAAGGGCACATTCTACAAGTCTGCCTGCTGACCACCAGCTAGCTCTCAGTCCCTCTCTTCCCATGAATCTGGAGCCCTCAGCCACTCCCCTCTTCATGTCCCCATCTCTGCCTCTATCTCTGATGTTGCTGCTTCTCTGGATACGTTCTTTCATTCTGCTTGTGCTCTTCTCCCTTGATGGTCCTAGGATTATTTGTTTCTGGACTACAAGATTAAATACTCCCCTGTTTTTGTTATGAAACTCCTACCTCTACAATTGTGACAGTCGCAAATAGTCATGATATTTAATTCACTATTGAATCATAAGAATTTTATCCCCATCTCTTGTAACTAGACCCATCTTGCCAAGATGAAAACTATTCAGTGGGTACTCTATCTTCCTCCACACACTCTTAAACTAAACTCCCTCTTGAAACCTTGTAAGCCACACACTTTGTGCCTTTATTGTCCCCTCATTTTAGGTAGCCAGTGTCTACGTTGCCCATCCCTATCTACCATATGTACAGAGAGGATAGCATTGATACTTGATGTGAAGACTCCTTCCCTCTCTGTTGGTATTTAGAGTTACTACCTCTGTGAGTATAAGGAGCTCTGGTAGCGTAGTGGTTAAGAATTGGGCTGTGAACCACAAGGTCAGCAGTTCGAAACTACCAGCTGTTCCGTGGGAGAAAGATGAGGCTTTCTGCTCCTGTAAAGATTTACAGTCTTGAAGACCCTGTACAGGGTCACTATGAGTCAGAGCCGACTCCACAGCACATAACCACCACTACCACCACCACCACCTCCATGAGTATAAGTCAAGGTCATCAATTGTAGCAATTTACCCTCATTTCTTTTATCAAAATAATTTTTTTTTTTTTTTATCTTCCTCTAGCCGAGTTCTGATTATCAAACCATTGAGGCTAGGTCAATGGGTACTATCTGCAAGTTTGGGTGTTCTTGTGAGCCTCCTCTCACTCTTTATTAGTTGGATGCTTCACTGTCAGCTGTAGCCCTCTGTGGCTATGTCCTTGTCCATGTTCTCAAGTGTCCCAGGTCTCACCACACTTTGGACCAACCAGCTCTTATTCTTCTTTCTCTCATCTCCAGGTCAATGCGAGTCTATGGAACATGGTTAGACTCAGCCCATTTCTTCATTACTGCATTTCCCCCACTTCCACTCACCAGTAGACCAATGTGGTTGTCAGCAAGCTTAAATGTCTGCTTATGTGTTCCCTTTGAATTTCAGTCTTAGAGGGGAGTTTGTCCTGAGTCAACTTGGTTGCTTGCCTTGATGGCTTCCCGGCAAACAGCTTGCTTATTCTTGTGGTAACCAGTCAGACTGACATTTTTGTTTGGGTTTTTCCTGATGATCTTTCTTTGAAGATGTGTCTTCTGTTGCTCTAGCTGTTCTAGGCTGGTCTGCTTGTCCTTTCTAGTGGGAATGTACCACCTCAGAAAGTTCTGGATGAGACTCAGGATTCCACTTAAGGGCCTATACACTGCAAAGGTTTTGCATGAGGCCTATTTCACTGGAAAAGTTCTAGAACCCCTTTTAGGTATTCCAATCAGTTATAGGCTTAAGACGGGTTTACAAGCTTTCTATAATCATGTTTCCCGACATTCCCTTCTATCCCACTCAAGTGTCAATTTTACAATAGTAGGCAAGGGAAACCAATACGAATATAAGATAGTTAAGCATCTTATATATGTATGAATATAAGATAGTCAAGCATCTTAGTATTATTTCCCATCTTCAAATCCCTTCCCCTTGATCCCTGTATCACAGAGCCTTGTTGTTCCAAGGTTGAGCATGTATCACTATTTACCTCTGTCCCATTTAGCCCATGCAAATCTGTCTAAGTGTTCCCCTATCTACCTTGTTCTTTCACCCCCTCCCTTCTGTGTACTGCCCTCCCCAACACTAGAACTATGATGTGTCTGCCCCCTACCCTGTTATCTACTGTTGCCTCCCTCCACCTCCCCCAAAACGCCAACCCCAACCCCACCAGTAACCAACAAAGAAATTTTTCCCCCCACCTTTAAGTATAGGTATCATTTCTTAAGTTTTTACAATGATGATTTTATGCAATATTTGTCCTTTTGTGACTGACTAATTTCACTCAACATAATGTCCTCCAAGGTTCATCCATGTTATGCGGTGGCTTGCAGCTTCCCTGCTATTCTTCAAGATAGCATAACATTCCATTTTGTGCATGTACCAAAGTTTGTTTATCCATTCTTCCACTGATGAGCACTTAGGCTGTCTCTATCTTTTTGCTAATGTGAACAGTGCTGCTATGAACATTGGTGTGCATATATCTACTCATGTTATGGCTTGAATATCTTCTGGATCATATGGTATTTCTATTTCCAACTTTCAAAGGAAGTTCTATACTGTTTTCCAGAGTGGTTTTGCATTCCCACCAGCAATGTAGGAGGGTCCCAATCTCTCCACATCCTTGCCAGCATTTATTATCCTCTGCATTTTTGAACTTTGCTGTTATTGCTGGTGTGAGATGATATCTCACTGTTGTTTTGATTTGCATCACTCTAATGGCCAATGACTGTGGACATTTCTTCACAAGTTTGTTGGTTGCCCGAATATCTTCTTTGGTGAAGTGTCTGTTCATGTTCTGTGCCCATTTTTAATAGGGTTAATTATCTTTTTCTTGTAAAGGTGTTGTAGTTTCCTATAGATTTTAGAAATTAGTTCCTTGTCTGATATGTCATTGCAAAATATTTTTTCACATTCTGTGGGCTCCTTTTTTACTCTTTTGGTGAAAACCTTTGATGAACATATGTTTCTAATTTTTATAATGTCCCAATCATCTATTTTATCTTTTTCTGATAGCGCAGTGGTATTTAAAGTAGAAATATTTTCAAATTAACATGTGCCGTGGGGTCAGTTCTGACTCACAGCGACCCTGTACAGGGTTTTCCGAGGCTGTACATCTTTACGGGAACAGAAAGCCTCATCTTTCTCCCATGGAACAGCTGGTAGTTTCGAACTGCTGACCATAAGGCTCGCAGCCCGATTCATAACCACTACGCTAACAGACCTCCTTAAGGAAAAATATCCTGACCATGGTGTGGTGCTGTAGGTTACTGAACTGGTAACCACAAGGTCTTCAGTTCAAACTCACCAGGTCTATAAAGGTCAATATGATTCAGAACTGACTTGATAGCACACAACAACAACCACCCTGACCCAGACTGGGGGTTCAGAAAAAGAATATGGAAAGTCATTCCAAGCAAAGGGAAAAACTTTTACAAAGGCATACAGTATGAAAATAAATGTTCTGTTTGGGACATACTACACAAAATTTTTGGGAATACTAAATAATGCCTAAGGGAGTTAAGAACAAGACAGAAAAATATCTGATGACTCTAGTAACTAAATTTATTAAATCTATGACAATTCTGGTAAATATATATGAACACTATATTTGTTTATTTACATATTGTCTTTCTAACATGGCTTCATGTCAGTTTTGAAATGTTAACCCTTAAAATATTGTCTAATACTAAACAATGACCATGATATTTTGAAGAATAAAGGATTTGGGTAGGAGAAATTTAATAAGGAAAATACTTCAGCTTGATAGTCATAACAATACACATACCTGTTCTTTTATCATGGAAAAATTTCATTTTTAAGTTTTCATCTACAAGATACTTTATGTGCCTACACAGAATTAATTTAAAGCGTTAGAAAAATTAAAATTATGTGTTAAGTTGAAAATATTTCTACTTTAAATACCAACTTATAAAAAACTTTTCATTTAGAAGAAAGAAAAAACTCACCTTCCTTTGGTAAATAGCAATCCAATCTGTTGTGGCAAACCACTTGTGAGTTTTGATATCACTCACACCATTCTTGAGATTTCCAAACCGCTTTGTCAAATCAACCTGGAGCAGGTTCCTTAGAAGATCCTTGAGATCTGAACTGAAGTGGGACGGGAATCTGACCTGAAAAAAAATCAAACAGACTATGTGATGAAAAAACACATTCAATACTCATCTTAGAATATTTGTTTTGATTTCACGAAGTTTTTTTTTTTTTTTTTTTTTTTTTAAGGTTAATGAGTCACTACATAAAAACACATAGTGATAACTTTCAAACTACATGCTACAGTTTTTATATGGTGTTGTAGGATAAGCAATGGACTGCTAACCACAAGGACAGTAATTCAAACACACCAGCAGCTCCTTGGAAGTCCAATACAGGGTAGCTATAAGTTGGAACTGATTCAATAGCACTTAACAATAAACAACAGCACAGTCCCCATAGTAATCTTAAAGAAGGAAATTACTTGGGAGAATAATTTGGGAAAATACTGGTTTCTTATTTTGGCCATAAACTCCCTTTAAGAATCTGGACCCCTCTCCAGAAAAATGTGCCTACAAACAGAATTTTCCCAACAATGCTAGAACTCCATCTTCCAGAGGGAATCTTTGAGCTTCACAGTACAAACCTCCATTTTAGAGATATTTAAGTAAAGTTGTAATTTAAAATAGAACAAACAGCATATGAAAGATATCAGCATGCACATTCTGAAAAGTGATCTATCAAAAAGGAAGTCTAAAAATGACTGTAAAACCCACAGCGCTTTTCACAGCATAGGAAATGGTTTCTCATTTACCAGTGGATGACTTTTAAACAAAATTCAACTATTATGTAACAGTATAAAATTCACTTAAATTGGTTTAAAAACATTTTTTTCCATCTCTTAAGTTGTGAGTCATAGGTGTCGCTATGAGTTAGAATTGAATTGACAGCAAAGTTTTATTTTATTTTTGAGGGGATGGTGTTTAAGTTTTATAATTAGCTGGCAGGCCTCTTGTCTTAAAAACAACAAAATGCCCATATAAATAAATAAGTTGTATGTTAGGCAACCAATAAAATTAAAGCACCAGTTATAAGAAACCTGGTCACATTTTTGATTATTGTATTTTGTTGAAACACATGCATAGCTACTCACACCTAACTTTCACTTCCCAATCTTTTATTAATAGGAATTCTTAAAAATTAACACGGGCATTACTACTAAGGGATGCACCTTTCTTGGAACTCTGGTAGCATAATGGATTACGAGCTGGGCTGCTAACTGCAAGGTAAGTAGCTTGAATCTACCAGTTGCTCCAGTTGCTCCAGTTGCTCCATGGGAGAAAGATAAGGTTTTCTGCTCTCATCATGATACAGTGGTAGTGGTGGTTATGTGCTATGGAGTCCGTACCGACACACAGCAACCCTGTACAGGGTTTCCGAGGCTGTAAATCTTTACAGGAACAGAAAGCCTCATCTATCTCCCGTGGAACAGCTGGTAGTTTTGAACTGCTGACCTTGCGGTTCGCAGCCTGATTCTTAACCGCTATGCTACCAAAGCTCCTTAAGATATACAATCTCAGAAACCCTATACAGGGTTACTATGAATCAGAAAGACTCGGTGGCACACAACCACCACCACCACCAGCACACCTTTCTTATTCTCTTTTATTACTTCCACCTTTCCAGTAATCCTTTCAACTTCTGATCAACAACCTCCCATTTTACAGATAAAATAACTGAGATCAAGATTTAGTAACTTGCCCAAGAGTATAGTGCTGGTTACTGAGGGTGATAGTGGTGGTGGTGGTTGTGTGCCTTTGAGTCAGTTCCAACTCCTAGCGACCCTGTAGAGTTTCTGAGGTTGTAGATCTTTATGGGAGTAGGAATCCTCATATTTTTCCTGCACAGTAACTTGTAGATTCAAACTGCTGACCTTGTGGTTAGCAGCCCAGTTCATACTCCACTATGCTACCAGGGCTCCTTTAATCAATGGTAGGGATGACATTTCAAAGCATATATTCTGACCTGAGTATACATTTTAAATTATTCTATATTTTTTTCATGATTCAATTACCTGACTACAGTTATGATCAGAAAGATTAAAATTTTCATGTTAAAAATATTTTGCTGTACATTTCCTCAATGATTTCAGTTGGTGCAGTACTGTACTAGAGAATAACAGGTATTCAAACGGCACACTGTCTAGTTTAAAAATAATAGGACAATTGTCCATATTAGACATATTCTAACTTGTTAAAGATTCAAAGGAAGTAACTGACTCAAAATACATCTATCTTTGTTTAGAACAGAGTTGAGGAACTATTTGATGTAATGTGCCAATTATGCTCCTTTTTATGATGGTCAGATCAACAGACACTAATGCTTACCAATAATAAACACTAAGACTTATCAAGAGACACATATAACTTATCTTCTGAATTTAGGTAATATGCAATACAATCCAGAAAGAATATAAGTACCTATATAAAATACCTATTTATTTTGGAATGCAAATAAAATAATGGTCTTGAATTGCTGTATATATGTGTGTTTAATTTTAGCACAATGATTTTCAAAAGGAGAATGGTGGAGGGGTTATGACGGTAGGAATCAGAAGCATTTGTGTATCCTTCCAAGTATAGATATATTCTCATCTCCACACACACCCTCTTCTTCTCAGAGATGCTCATAGGTAACCCACATTCATGTTCATGATGGGGACCTACTATATCTTTCAAATAAGATGGTGATGATGGTGGTTGTGTGCCATCAAGTTGGTTTTGACTTACAGTGACCCTATATAGCATTTCCGAGGCTGTAAATCTTTAAGTGAGCAGAAAGCCTATCTCTCTCCCATGGAGTAGCTGTGGATTTGAACTGTTAACCCTGTGGTCATCATCCCAATGCATAGCCCACTACACTAGCAGAGTTCCATCCTTCAACTATACTAGGAGAGATAAAATCAGAATCATTGTGGAAATAGTTTTTCCACATTGTTTTGAAATGTAATTGAAATGCAGTTCTCTGGTTGATGCTATTGTTGCTGTTAAGTGCCATCAAGTTGGTTCTGACTCTCAGTGACCCTGTATAGGCTTCTAAGTTGCGGCTGATGTATTTGAACTGACCTTGCAGTCAAGTGCATTATCCCACAGCATCACAGAACTTTTTAGAGAGCTACTGATACAGCAAAAATTAGAGTAAACAGCATCAGCGACAACACAAACAGAAAATTATTTAAATAAAAATATATTTTGAAATGTAAGACCTTTATTTCTTTATAACATATTAAAACAGAAACACCAAAGATTTCTATAAAGGAAAGAGTGATTAGCTTATTATTCCTTTAAAATGGCACCAATAAGTATATTATTTTTATCATTAATTATAACTGTTATAGTAAATGAAATTGCAATCCTAGAGTATTGGAGCTTGAGAAAATATAGTTTAATTTAGTCTAAACCTTCATTGAGCCTCTGTGAAACTATAAGCTCAGTCAGAGGTATCTGTGGGACAATATTTTAAACCTCCTGACTTGAACGTCTATGTTCTTCCTGCCAATCTATGAAAATAATATGAAAGTAGTTGTAAAGAATGGAAAAGATAAAGAATCTGTTGTTGTTAGGTGCAACTGAGTTGGTTCTAACTTATAACGACCCTATGCACAACAGAACTAAACACTGCCAGGCCCTGTGCCAGCCTCACAATTGTTGTTATACTTGAGCCCACTGCTGCTGCCACTGTGCCAATCTATCTCATTGGGGGTCTTGATAATTTTGCTGACCCTCCACTTTACCAAGTATGATGTCCTTCTCCAGGTACTGGTCCATCCTGATAATATGTCAGAGGTATGAGACATAAGGAGTCCTGGTATGGAGCCAGAGGATAACCACTGGACCTCAAGGTTAGCCTAACCACAAGGTGGGCAGTTCAAACTAACCAGCCGCTCCTCGGAAACCCTATACAAGGTCACTATGAGTCAAAATCGACTCAACGGCATGTAACAACAAAAATGAGAGACAAAGTCTCACCATCTTGGCTTCTCAGTAGCAGTTTGGCTGTACCTTATCCAACACAGATAGATTTGTTTGTTCTGGTACTTTCAATATTCTTCTCCAATACTATAATTCAAATGCACCAGTTCTTCCTCAGTCTTCCTTACTCACTCCACATGCACATGAGGTTATTGAAAATATCATGGCTTGGGTCAGTTGCACTTTAGTCCTCAAACTGGTATCATTGACCTTGAATATTTTAAATAGGTTTTGTGCGGCAGAATTCCCTAATGCAATATCATTTGCTTTCTTGACTGCTGCTTCCATGAGTATTGAGAGTGAATCAAAGTAAAATGAAGTCTTTGACAACTTCAATCTTTTCTCCGCTTATCATGATGGTATTTATTGGCCCAGTGGTGAGTACTTTTGTTTTCTTTACAATGAGGTGCAAATCATAAGGAAATCTTTGATTATCATCAGTAACTGTTTTAAGTCTTCTTTGCTTTCAGCAAGCAAGGTTGTATCATTTGCATATCACAAGTTGTTAATGAATCTACCTCTAGTCTTGATGCCATGTTCTTCTTTACATTTTCCAGCTTCTTGGATTATTTGCTCAGCATTCAGATTGAATAAGTATGGTGAAAGGATACAACCCTGGCTGGCACACACCTTTCCTGGTTTTAAAACACTCAGTGCTCCATTGTTCTTTTTGAATGGCTGCCTCTTGGCCTATGTACAATTTATACTCTCAATGAGAGTATAAATCCACTAGATCATTAAGTTTGAGAGATTAGGTCACCAGAAACATGAAAGGGGTGATTGTGAAGCAAGCATTTTCTAGAATGTTTTTGTCTTTTTGCACAGTATTATTTCCAGTTAGGATTATTTTACAAGAGTTAGAGACTAAGCTGTTTCTCAGTTTCCTAAAGATATATCCTTGAGGTTCTGGTTGTAAATAAATCTATTTGGAAACCCCATAAAGGGGTTGCAGACTCTACAGCACTAAGCAACAACATGATGGGTAAAGTTATGAGAGGAATAGATTTGCTAGGGGGAATAAAGATTAGGAGTTCAGTTTTAGACAGATTGAATTTGAGGTATTAAGCACTCAAGTGGAGTTACTGGACACAAGAATCTGGAATTCAGGC